CTGTGTCAGACAGACATACCTGTGTCAGAGGCCCCGGAGGTGTCTGGTACATGTGCACGGGTGGCACAGAGGATGGGGTGTGGGCAGGGGCGTGGCTCTGCTGCAGCTGGGGCGGGGTGAGGTAGGGGTTGGCCCTGCTGCTCAGGGTGGTGTGTCTGTAGGGGTTGTATCCCTGCTGAGGTGTTCCTGGGGGAAGTCCTGGAGCACTGGTGGGCGGGGGACAGCTCTGCTGAGGAGTCTGGTACGGTGGGATTCCCACCTGGGAGGTGGGGGGTGCACTGTAGGGCTGGGAATTAGGAATATGAGGTGAAAAGGCATTTTGCCCATCCTGTGACCCAGACACGAGTGGAGGTGAAGTTGGAGGCCTGGAGAAGGCTGGTGCTCCCACAGGGGTTGCAGCAGTTGTCAAGGGTGGCTGCCCAATACTTCCAAAGGGATCACTGCTACTGGGCACTTGAGAGAAATAGTTGAAAGTCTGTGGTGGGTTGGGGCTGGCAGAAGTCTGACCCAAGAAGCTGTCCTCTTCCCCAACGTCTGCAGAATCATCTGCAAAGACAAAAGGACCACCAGAGATACTGTGAGACGTTCAAACCACCTGCTGTGTGTAGTCAAAATGTTCTGTAACGTTATCAGCTATTGCCAAAACTGCTGGTCTCCAGAAAGCCAAAAGTATTACAAAGCTTGCACAACTTGGTGATTAAGCACGTCATAAAATGAAACAAAAGATACAGAGTGTTCAAGAACATTTAAAATGGATCATAAGTCATGCAGGGTACACAGAATAAGCAACAGATATTAAAAACATTAAATAAGAGACCAAAGTATAACTGGAGTCAGGACCTTCCCAAGGCAACATGGCAGGTACTAAAATCCCTCCCAACTTCACTTATGCCTCACAAATGCAAGGGCAGCCTTGGTTCATACCCTTTCCACATGTAACCAATTGTTAAGCATAGGGCTTTATGCTCTAATTTTCAGACTTCCAAGATCAAATAAAAAATTAGACTTTAAAAACATCCCCAAATAGGCCAAACCTACTGATTAAACAATCCATTCTTGCCTGCTCCTTTAGCACAGCCCTCACAAGGTTTCTCATCTGACTTGCAAGGTGGCCATAACTCATGATCCCATGTCACTTGATGAGCAGGGTTTACTCCAGTTCTCCCTAAAAATCCTACTCTAGCCTGGCATAAAAGCTAAATTTCTGGTGCAGAAAAATCAGTCCCCATTCTGTATAATTGCAGGAGAGAGTTTAAAAAGGTACAAGGTCACTGAGAAAATAAACCAGGTTCTGGTCAATCCCAGTTTTCTGCTTGGCAGTGATTTAGCAACAAGTGGAAAAAAAGAGGTTTGACATTATTAGAGGTCTCACAGTAAGCTCAGCTAAATCTGTGATGGCCTGAGCAGCACTGCCTGCCTGCTGAGGGAACAGCACCTTGCAAGGAGTCAGTGCAACCTGCAGAGGTTAGAACTGTGTTTCATCTGCTCTGGCCATCAAATGATCCCCAGGCTGTGGGGAAGACACCCCAAAGGTATTGCTGCTTCTCTGATACTCAGTCCCCAGAGCAGCAACAACAAATGTCTTTATCCACAGCCAACATAACTGCACTAGAGAGTACCAAGGGAGTACAGGGGAATCCACGGAGGAGTCTCCCTAGGAAGCTGCTGTTCTAATTAATTAATCATAAAAGAAGCAGCTGCCAAGATTAAAAAGAACTATTTTAACCATCTTTTATTTAGTAGTCTTTGCAGACAGTGCCAATTTGAGGCATCACCTGCCTTACCAATTACTTACCTTACATCTTACCAACTTCTCTTACTTTCACCCACAGCATTTATCCCACTTTGAGGAACAACCCAAAACCTGTGTGTGTGGGCCATCAGGTGGAGAGTGCTGAAAGCATTTACAAGCAATGACCACTCTGAAATCAGGCCTGGGGATTATCTCCCAGCTACAAGCAGAATGGCCATTTATGCTAAATAAAAGGTCTCAATTTCTAAACAAAAAAAATCCACCTCATTTCCATATTTCATAAACACCATGGAACAGAGAGAAGCTACTGCACAGCACGCTCTCCACTCAGCTTTCCCAAATAAGTGTTCACCTCACTATGTCAGGTCACCACAGATATGCAGCAGTGTGCTGAAGAGTTCCCAGGGCCTTTACCAAATGCCCATTCACAAAACACCTACTGTTCTCCCAATCCAACTAGGTTTTGGAGGTTTAGTCTAACTGCAGCTTTCCCTGCAAAATGAGACTGACAAAAGTTCTGCCAAAACAAAAATTATATGTGTGTATATATATATACATGCTGGTTTACAATACCATACATTATTTTCTATCTTTCCTGTTTCTAATTTTGCAAACACTACATTGGAACATGAGCCCAGCCTGGCAGTAAAACAAGCACATCCTGTAAATTTTAAAAAATGAATGTACAGCTTTGACATGCAAGGGCAATGTCCTTCCCATGTACAAAAGAGTCTTTCTTCAGCTGTGACTGTGTCAACCTCCTGTACCTCCCTCCCTCCTCATTCACAGACTGTCACCAGACAACCACAAGTGACATTAATCCACTTCCTCACTGGGAACACTCCTCTCCACCTACAGTAAATACACTGGCTACATCACCCACACCTGAGCCAGAGAATGTGTCTTTTACTGTCAAACTGCAAAGCTCAAATCACTAATTAGAGACAATACAAATAGACATAACAAATTAATGACTGCACACAGCTTCTCAGTGTTGGCTGGCAGATGTCAAGAAAATCCAGACATTGATTCTTATTACATTTTACACAATTTAAAATTCAAACTCGAGAGCTTGTTCTTTCCTGCTTCAAACTGTGATTCGAGATACAAACCATCTTACCCAGCCAGATCCCAGCAACACCTGGCTGGACAGATGGTGAGTGCAATTGAGGATTGAGAGAACATTTAACAGGACACGGGCCTTACTTGGACACAAGTGGAACGTGGCACAACCTCTGGCACTGAAATTCACTCCAGCTGCAAAACTGGGAATCCTCATCTGATCAAATTTTAAGCGAGATGGAGAGTATATAATTCACCACATTAATGAAACCCCATCAGAGTTTCTCCCTGGCTGGCTTCAAAATCTTCAGGAAATTGCTACAACAGTCATTTGTGCAAAGCTACTGGAGAGACAAGCACTTAAAAGTTACTTTTTATTTGCTTTAATAAAAATTAAGACGTATTTGCAAGAAAGAAAACTTATAAGGATTGCACAGTGGAATCAGTAAATGTACCAACCAGTTAGATATTTCACATAAGTAGGGATAATATTCTAATGCTTTTATCCCTCCCACACAAAAAAACGCAGTTGATGTAAAAAAATGTTTCAAAGCCATAATTAGCAAATATTTTATTAAATCTACAGAGATGGATTGCACTGATTTCCAGCTATATTAGTACTTATTTCAGCTAAGATAAAACACTATTGAAATGAAGTCCTGGATTTTGGACTCGACATGCAACAGTTTTTGTTAAAAGGGACCTTTAAAGGTCATTAGTCCGACTGCAACACGTACAATGCAGTAAAATTTGAAATATCTGATTTATAGATGCATTTCTAATGTTTAGGGCTTTAATCTCAGACTGAACACATTCCCAGAAAAATCCATGCCTTCATCTGAAGGTGCTGGAGGACCAGATTTTAAGCAGTGCTGGGAACACCATCAGGGTTTTAGAGGGAAAGGATAACAGAACCGGGATTAAATTAGCAAGGATATTTTAGGTGCCCGCTTAACGTGCTATTTTCACACAGGGAAAGCGGAAGGCAGAATGGGAGAGGAGCTTTAAAAGACTGAAATCACCCAGTACACCCTGAATGGAAGCACTGAGACCTTTAAATGGCTGAAATGAACGTTCTGAAACATCGATGAGCTGCAAACGCGACAAACGCCCCCTCTCCTCAGCCCCGACACTAAAAACCGAACACACGATCACCAAACACAAGGAAGCACAAGCAATTAAGCACAAGAAAGCGGAATACGCGACCCCAAGCAGCCCGTCCGCGCTGAGGCACCGCGGGTGACAGCGGGCTGGGAGAGCCCCGGGGCCGGCTCGAACGGAACCGTCCCGGCCCTCAGCCCCCCTGGCAGCCCCGCCCGGCTCCAGGGGCTCCCCCGACCCCTCAGCCCATCCCGGGGGCTGCGGGACCCCTCACCGCCCCTCCCTCCCTCCCTCCCTCCCTCCGTACCGGCGGGCAGCAGCGCGGGCCCTGGCGCGGCGGGCGCCTGGCTGACGGGGATGAAGGGCACGTTGAAGCTGAAGTCGGTGGCGGAGGAGGAGAAGAGCAGGTTGGTGTTGGGGTTGGTGCCGGCGGTGCCTCCCCCGGCCTTCGCCGCCGCCATGGCCGCGCCCCGGCCACGTCCCGCCCCGGCCCCTTCCGCCCTCACCCAAGATGGCGGCGGCGGCCGCGCGCAGCCGTGAGGGGGGAGAAGGCGGGTCCCGCCGCCATTCCCGCAGGAAGGGGAGGAGGAGGAAGCGGCAGTGCCCGTGCGGGGCTGGCGAGCGGGAGGCGGCGGCCGCAAGGAGCCGGCAGCCCCGCGGCGAGGGGCGACCCCGCCATGCCGTGCGTGGGCGACTGGCTCAACAACCCCCTCAGCATCGTGCAGGGCTTCTTCGGTGAGGCGGGACCGGCGTCCCCTCGGCACGAGCGGGAGCGCCCTGAGGGCGCCCGGAACCGGACGGGGCTTTCCCTCGCGGGGTGGTGGCGGGAGAGCGGCGAGGCTGCTTATGTGCCTTCTGTACCTCATATATATCTCACGTACCTTATATATATGTCTCATCTATATCTCATATATCTTGCGTATCTCGTGTATCTTTGGATTTCGGGAACAAGGCGTGCTGTCCACACCGATCACTGCTAATGTTACCAGTGCCATCACCGCGGCTGTTTCTGTGCTAGGCTCGATCTTAACTAAAGGGTTATGGAAATAAAAATCTTCCGCGCGGGAAGCGGCACCTCAGCTCCTTCCCTTTCTCCTTGAGGTGTCGTGGAGCTTTTCTTCGGTCCCGAGAATGGCTGTGGGCATCTCGGTTGGCCTGGAAGCCTGTAAAATGTGAAGTCATGAGGTACAAGAGGCGTAAATTACACTAAAATGCAGTCGTTTGTAGTCTAAATTGCACCTGCTTCCTCAGAATAGAAGCAAAAGTTTGCTTTGTTCGCTGTGTTTGGAGAAGGCTGGATAGAGGTCTGTTGCCGGTGCTAATGCGCGTGTAAATGTGGTTTTTTTGTAGCCCAAAATGTTCCAAACTCTGATTGGGAAAAGAAGGTAACCGAATACTTCAAGGAAAAATTAAAAGAAAATAATGCCACTAATTGGGTAAGAGCGTTTGATTCTTTTAGACTTACGCTTTCCTCAAGTCTCGTTGTTGTTTACATTTTATTGCAGCGACTGGCGTTGGAGAAGTTCTTCGTGTTCGTGATAAGCACAGGGCCGAATTTCAGGCCCAGGCTTAAGGATATGTTATCCACATCTCGGCTGCTTTTTTTTTTAACCTGATGTGAAATCCTGGCTGGGATTTCAGCCTTGCCTTCGGCACAGCTCCTGCTCCGGGCCATCCCTGCCGGGCGCTGCCGCTCTGCAGCACAGTCAGTAGATGGCAGGAGCTGACAAATATTGTCATTTTTGGGAGTGTTTGTCCCTGCGCTCTGCGCCCCACGAGCTTCTCAGCTGCTGCTTGTAAACCTCTTCTCCTGTGAGGTTTTTATCGCGATGCTGAGAACTTTTGTGTGGGTTGAAGAAGCAGCTGCCTGGGCTTTCAGGTTTTAGGACAAAACACTTTTTCTGCTAAAACTGTGCTTTATTGGGCTGGCTTTGTGCAGCGGGGAAGCTGTGCTTAAGGTTTAAAAGTGAGTTCAAAAGCTGATACTTTTTTAAAAGGCTGTAGCAAAAATGACACTGTGGAACATTGCTAAGAGGACTAGAAAGTTTCACATAAGATCTGTTCTACTTATGGCTGAGAAAACAGATGAAAATTATTTGATTTCTTTTTTTCTTCCTGAGGATTCCATACTTAATATTTCAATCATATTTTTAATCATTTTTCATTTTAATCATTTTTCAATCATAGTTTTAATCAAAGTGGGAAAAATCAAGTCAAATTGACAACATTAGAAGGAATTGAAAGCACATTTTCTTACTCAAGAGAAACATGATGTGATATATGATTGCTAAAATGCCATTTCTTATAGGGACACTTCTGGATTTTGTTGCATTTTAATGTTGAATGTGGGTTTTTTCAACAAGTTGATCTTCAGATTTAGAAAACTCTACTCATATTGCAAGTCTCATTATTTCAAGTTACACCACCTGCTTTTGGCTTAGTTCAGTGCATTGCTTAATATATACCAGTTGTGTAGAATAAACTCTTTTTTTTACAGGTTCCATCACTGAATGATGTTCCTGTACATTACCTAAAACCCAACAGTTTGGTGAAATTTCGCTGCATGGTTCAAGATATGTTTGATCCTGAGTTTTACATGGGAGTGTATGAAACAGTTGACCCAAACACAAATGCACGTGTAAGTGAAATACTGATTTATTATTTTAATAAATGCTTATCATTTTATCTACTCTAGTTCTCATATTTCTCTAGTTCCTAAGTTAAACTTATGGAGTCTGGGTGCTATTTAGTAATAGGAGTGTTTGGCTCAAATGGCATCACTAATACATCACTTGTATTTCTGTTGAGAAAAAGAAAATATTAAAATAAGGAAAGCTTTGGCAGTGTATCCGTGTGGGATTTTGGACTGCAGTGATTTTGGTCTGATTCCTGCTCAGGATTCCTTCAGAAAAAGAATGACTGCATTGCCTTTTCCTCCTTGACAGGTTTTGCATTTTGGCAAATACAGAGATGTGGCAGAATGTGGGGTAAGTTATACAAGTTACACAAATTTTGAGATGAAATATTAGATGGAAAGTTGCCGTTTATAAGTGTGATAGGACTTCTTTGGTACTTGCCCGTGGATTCCTGAGGGCACTGCTCTTGAAATACAGAATTAATCTCAGGTTTGGAAAGCAAAGTATTCATAACTGCTCCCTGGCATTCTAATTTCAGGAGGCTTCCAGCTGTTCCTGTTTTATTTAAAATTTGTTTTGCTTGGTTGGAGGGGGGAGTGCCTGTGACTGAAACTGTTTGCTGTGGAAACAGCTCCTTCTGGTAGTGCTGTGCAATTGGAATCAAAACATTACAGATACTGTTTGGATTCACTGTTTCATGAGTATGTTAGTTGTAACTTCTGGCTGAGTAACTGAATCTATTGGATTGCTTTAAAAAAATCCTGTAATCAGATTTGTAACAGAATTTCCCTTGGTATTCCAGCCTCAGCAGGAGATCGATTTGAACTCCTCACAAACAGTCACCTCGGAGAGACAGACTCTCTACTGTGTTCCAGTGCCTGGGGAATCTGCATGGGTGAAAGAAATATCTTTTTTGACTCTGTTATACAATCAGTGATCACCAACTAATTAGATTGAAGGAGATAAGTTTATTTAAAGTCTCTTTTTTGTTTTTTCTCTGTGAATCAGGTGAGGGGGCAGGTGCAGAAAGAGAAGAAAGGTAAAACTGGTGGTGTGTTATATGCACAAAGAGGATGCAAATGAATGAGATGTGGGAGAGAAAATTCATGCATTTTTGATTTGTTCCTGACCACAAGCACATTCTCTGGGGGAAAAAAACCCTTTTTTAGAGGCTGATGGTGGAATAGCACTTGGTGGTTTATAGTTTCTGTTTTCAGCAAAGCCACTGACTCTCCAGACTCCTGCAGCAGGTTATTTGTGTGTCTGAAGAGGTGACATCTAGGTAACAGTTTGATTCATTATTTTAACATCTTGCTCAAAATAGAACACTAGAATTTTGTTTAAAAAAAACCAACCAAACCTTCCTGTGCTTGAGTTGTCCCTGCTCAGCCTGAGGTTGTCCTTAACCCCCAATTTCACGCCTATATCAGTGCCAGCCAAGCCCGAGTTAGTCCTTCAACTTCCTACACCCCGAGTCGCCACAAGAGGAGCTATGAGGAAGATGAGGACATGGATCTGCATCCATCCAAACAGAAGGAGCAGCATATGGGTAACAGTTGCCATTGATGAATAGCTATGATATCTTTCCAGAATTTGTAAAAGCTTCTGTTTTAAAAACTGAAATATTTGCAGCTGTTTTGAATCACTGGTGTTGGTGCAGCTTTCAGAACTGATTTGGTGGCTTTGTTGAAGCCATCAGTGGTTTGATCTGAAGTAGAGTGGGAGAGTCTGTGGTGTTACACGTGGGCTGTACGACTCGTTGGCACGACTTTGTGGAGTTCATTCCTGAGAGCAATCCTTTGTACAGCAGCACTGGTGCATTGCCTCTGGTGTGGAACAGCACACAAACAATTTAGAGCAGCAGGTTGAACTTGGGGAGTTTGTGCTTAATTTCCCACTGTATTACAGGTTTCATTGTAATGGGAGGGAAATTTTATCTCTCACACCGTGTGTGGGTCTTACTGTGTAAATTGAAGCTGAACTCCATGTCAGTTAGGTGCTGCTTTGCTACAGAGTGTGTGTCTAACAAATATCTTCCAGCCTTCCCTTTTTCCCAGTGTGATTTACTAATCCAACTTCCTAGAGGAACAAGATCCATGTCAGGCACTTGTAGCATCCTGAAGAAAGCATTTGAACCTTTTCAGAGGTTCAACACTGGCAGTGTGCAGTTCTTACTTATGCTGTAATCAGTCTGTCAACTATTTGTTTTGATGCTCATCCGTGGAGATTCCACTTAAACTGGAATGGGGTTCTTCAAGATTTTGGCAAGTTTTCTTTTCAGCAAGAGGAAGTGGTTAGTTTAAGTTGTTGGTCCTGTTAAAGATAAAAAAAATGTAGAAGTTACTGCTTTCTTTGGTTCAGTGCTCTGTGTCTGTCAGGTTCATTAGCTGGACTCAGGATTTTCCTTTTGTATTCTTACCAGTTTGCAAGGTACTATAGACAGGATTGTCTTTGTACCTGGGACTCATCAACTGTAGAACAGATTTTTCTTGCTGTATTATTGCTGAAAATCTGCAGAGATTTTTAATGTAAACTGGTTCTTTATGCATATTCTTACCTTTGAGAACTACCTGGGTTTTTTAGCTTGAAGTGCAAAAATATATTACCTTTGCAGAAAAATCATTCACCCCCATATAAACGTTACATTTTGAAAATCAGATTTCTGGCTGTGTTTGGGTTTCCAAGACACACAGATCTTTATCAGTACTCTCACTCACCCTTAATTTGACAATATAAAATATGCATTTGTGAGACTTTCTGGATGTCAAATATATTGCATTATTAAACGGTTTTGTCTCAAATGTCTTGTTAAATTAGTTTAATTCTGTGTTCCTCCCTGAAGAAAGTTGTTCAGTTTTGC